TGGATCAGCTCCATGAGAGCCTACTTTCAGGTACAGTGCACTCAAAGAGTGAACCAGTGCTTGATCCTAAGCACGAACGTCGAGGCTGGCCTATGGGGCTTCTTAGAAGTCCACGCTCCACGCTATGCACGCTTGATATCCCAAGATCGAACTAATAGAGTGGGTTTTAATCACCCCGACTGACACTCTCGAAAATATACTAATAGCGCAATATAAAGACACATGCTCTTGCTGGAGTATGGATACAACTCTACGAACTTGAACGCAGCAAGAGGCAGGGCATCATGCACAAATTAATTGCTCAACTCTTTTCGACATCAGGATTGGAGTTAACCGCGCAATCGTGTTTGAATGATGTAAAAGGTATGGTTCCCACCCATTTAACCAATCGCAACCGACTGGTTTTCCTTGATGAAGGATGTAGTCAGTCTAGAGGTAAAAGACCTCCTTACCACAGCAAGCGGCAGAAAGACTTTTGTCCACGAACGGCACGGAAGTCTGAACCGGTCAACGATAGTTCTCCAAAGGAACATGTACCAGACCAACAGTCCTTCCTTGAAGCCCCGTCTTCTGTTGATTCCAACGTTGATGAATGTAATGTTTTGTATGTTAAGCTTGGGAGGAGTCAAAGAAGGTTGGCTCTCACTATCACCTAGAGCATTGGGCTGAGGTGAAACAACAACGTGCTCTTGATCTTTTTCAAACTTCTCATCAACCACCGCTATCTTCGCGTCTTGATTGATTGTGGTGCTACGACTAACTTCATGTCACCGCATGGGATACACAAAGTGGGCTTGGGGATGAAGCAAATGGCTTTGCAGAGCCCTTGCCGGACTCGAGTAGACAACAAAGGGTTGTCTCATCTACTCACACATTCAAAGGTGTGTGCACTACCTTTGACAAAGAAAAGACCATCACACACGCATTGAACTTCGATGTTCTTGACAAGTGCCCTTTCGACGCAGTCCTCGGGTCGGGCTGGTTGCAGTACCAATGCGAGTGGACCAAGTGGAAGGAACTACTTTTCATGGTCAAAGATGCACAAGGGAACGAGCGTCCCGTCCTCTTAGACGAGAAGCTTGACTTACGGGTGACCTTTCTTAATGCCATGCAGTTCTATAAGAAATGACGCAAGCACAAAGAGGATAAACAATTGTATGTCGCTTTCGTTTGCCCTACTCATGTGCCTACTACTTTTGTGGCTAGAACTAGTTCTACTTTACCTATGGAATCTACTTCTCACACTTCTACTTCTCACACTTCTACTTCTCACACTTCTACTTCTCTACCTACCTCTAATCCAAATAACTCTACTTCAAATTTTGTTACCTCCATTCTTAATCTGCGGCCCAATCTAAGTGATCCGTCTACTGATCCTCTACCACACGATCGCGTTGGTTGAAGGTGTTGTTCCTACAAAGCATTGTATATACTGTATGAGATCTTGTGAATTGGAGAAACTCCAAAGACAAATCGATGAGGTGATCGACAATGGATGGAATAAGCCTAACGAATCTTAATTTGGTCCACCCGTTTTGTTTGTCCCAAAGAAAGGAGGCAAACTCCGTATGTGTATTCATTATCGCGGTCTAAACCACATCACAAGGAAGAATGCATACACATTGCTACATATAGATGACTTGCTTGATGTTGCAGATGGGTGCAAGGTCTTCTTCAAGATCGACCTCATGTCTGTGTACTAGAAGATTGTATCCTGCTGACCAGCACAAGACCGTGTTCAAGATATGTGATACGCTTTACGAATTCATCATAATGCCCCTCGGTCTGACGAATGCACCAAACAAAGTTTTGCGTGAACAAATTAGTCAGTTTGTGGTTGTGACCTCGATGACATACTGATTTGTAGCAAGTCCATTGAGAAACATATGAAGCACCTTGAGGAGGTGTTCACCATCCTCAAAAAACACAACTTCATTTCAACTTAGAGAAACCTGAGTTTGGGAGGGACAACGTCATTTATCTTGGGCATCAATTATCTCTTACAGACCTCGAGCCTAAGGCAACCAAGGTTGAGGTTATATGCGATTGACCTCAACCCACGAACATCCGCAAATTGTGTTGTTTCCTTTGGTCTTGCATCATACCATCGAAAGTTTATACCCTGATTCTCTATTGTCGCTTGCCCATTGTTCTGATTAACAAGGAAGAACGTACCTTACATGTGGGATGTCGCATGTGAGACAGCATTTCAAACCTCGAAAGAGGCCTTGGCATGTTATCCTGTACTACGCATTGCTGATTCCAAACTCACATTCGTAGTCACTACGGATGCGAGCCAATATGGAATTGGCGTTGTGCTGCAACAAGACGACGACAATGGATTGCGGTCGCTCGAGTGGTACAACAAACGCATGCCTAGCGAAAAGGTAGCTACTTACACATACATGCACCATCTTTGTTTCACTATTTGTTTTCCCTTTTATTAACACTTCATATGTACGAAGTTCAACTTTTAGACTCATTCATCAAAAACTTTTTTGGTTAGTTGTCGCAGATTGTTTACTTTTCCCATGACCTTAGATCACTGGAAGCACTATCTTTTGGGACGCCACTTCAAAGTCTTCTCAAATCATGAGACTTTGAAGTGGATTAAAGAACAAACCACCTTTTCCCCTACATACTCTATTTCATGAGATTGATATTTTCGACTTTGAACTGAAATACCAAAAGGGTTGTTATAATCGAGTTGCTGATGCATTGTCTCGCTACCCCAAGTATATAACTGCCTTGTGAACTCTTACGACCTCCAGAAGAAATTGAAAAAGGAGCTCGTAGAGCAAACTACGGAACCGGATTTTAGTCCGATCCTTGAGCAGCTGCGAGCTGACCCCAGCAATCAACCTGATTTTCACAGATGTGGAGGACTGGTTTTCCAACGCTATGGAAATAAAGACCGTCGGTGTGTACCCAACCATGAGCCTCTCCACACACACTTCTTGGACTTCAAACAATTGTCGTTATCGCAATTTGCGCGACTAGTCGTGCAAGATCGAGCGATCGAACAAAGACTCTTTCGTTAAATCGCAGACCCCGGCCAAGTCCACACCAGCACGCAAACATTTGTTAGTACGCGGTCCATCCACTTATATTCAGATCAAGCATCCAGTGATTCGACTCTCACCCGACTCAACTGCACGCCATAGTTATCTCACCATGAGGTGAACAACAGATGGAGGAATGGAAATCCAGTCCGGTGCGATAAAATGCACTACTGTGACAACCAACAAGCCGACTCTCTTAAAAGGGGGTAGGATGGTGTTCCAAGGATTATAAGACTCTGGATCATTCTTCTCCAGCCAGGCTAAGACTACGATGATTACCGGGTACTTACACATCTGGAATCACACCTTGGTAAAGCACCATGCCGGGCCGACACTCCTTGCCCTCAAGATGCAGCTGCGAAGAAGGGGGGTTTTGAACAACTTCTCCAATTAAAGGCTGGTCGAGCTTTCGAACAAGTTCTTCAATTTCAGGCTGGTTGAGCTCTCTGAATCCAAGAACGGGGCACGGGACGATTGGGTCCAGACCCTGCGTGACAAGGACCCTAGGGCTAGGATGACACCGAAAAGAGAACTGGGGGTTAGGGAATCCATTCACACGAACAAGACCTACGAAAGACACGATGGGAATGTATCCAGGTGGCACCCACCCATGACCAGGTACGGGAACATCAAATGCAACAAAGAGAGTTGGGTGGGGGATGGGCCAACATGAATGGCGTTTCAAATCTGAAATACAGCACGCAGGATTTTGTCCTTCGGTGACACAGCGAGGAACAAGATCCACGAGAACACAAGAAATGAACGGTGAGGTTGCCGGTTACAGGAGTTTTTTAGACCAAGGGTAGAGCGAGGCTTTGTTTCACATTTTGTGCGGTTTTTCTAACTGGCATAGAGACTTTTGAATTAAGAATTGGGTGTGGTCATGTGCGTTTTTAATTTCTTGCACGACGCGGGATACGGACTGAGAACGAGCAGGTTTCCGTGCCACAAAGGTAGGGAGGAAGAGAGACGATCAATATTATAGAATAGGGCAGTGATAGTAGACCTCACCTTCGAAGTTGCCCCTGAAGACACTGCACTGGCAGCAGCAGAAACACGTCGGGCATTATGCCAAGATGCGTTAGTAGGACGCTATGCCACACATCGCCGTGTGCTTCACGTTTACTCTTCATCTCAGTCTGTGCTTCATGTTCTTACCATAGTTTTTGGAGGTGCTTCTATCTATCGCTGGTCTCATGGTGCGATGACTATGGCGTGTAGTTGAGTCAAGAGGGTCGAATCGCTGGATGCTTGCTCTGGATGGACCGCATACTAACAACTGTCTGTGTGCTGGTGTGGACTTGGCGAGAGTCAGCGACTTACCGAAAGTGCCTCTATTAGATCGCTCCATCTTGCACGACTAGTCGTGCAAATTGCGAGAACAACAACTGTTCGAGCATACTCCTCTGATCTCCAGCTGCCCAGAAAATGCACAAGCTTTTGTGCTCCTTGCTAAAGCTTCAGTAGCAGACCAAAAACTTTTGCCTTTTAGATATTGCGGAAGACCTCATATCGTGACAATTTTGATGCATTCGACAACAAATCGCAAGACATCTCGCAGCCCGCATCATTGCATACCACAGCGAAGTCGAATGACAAGTGTATTCGTACCTCGAACACAAAGCTTTTACACAAAGCTTTTGCTGTTCACCATACTCCCTCGATCTCAAGCTGCCCAGGAAATGCGCAAGCTTTTGTGCTTCTTGCTAAAGCTTTAGTAGCAGACCAAAAACTTTTGCCTTTTAGATATTGTGGATGGAAGACCTCATATCGTAACGATTTTGATGCATTAAACAAAAAACTGCAAGACATCTCGCACCCGAAATCATTGCATACCACAGCAAAGCCGAATGACAAGTGTATTTGTACCTCGAACACAAATCATCTGCTGTTCACCGTACTCCTTCGATCTCAAGCTGGCTGCCCAGAAATGCCTAAGCTTCTGTGCTTCTTGCTAAAGCTTCAGTACCAGACCAAGAACAATTGCCTTTTAGATTGTGGAAGACCTCAGCAAAGTCGAATGACAAGAGTGTTCCTACCTCAACCACGAAGCTTCTGCTATTCACCATTCTCCTTCGATCTCAAGCTGCGCAGGAAATGCACAAACTTTTGTGCTTCTTGACAAGAGAGATTCTGCCTCCGAGAATAAGCTCCTGTCGACCACGATGCTACCGTCTTCCCCCGAACATAACGCACCCTGAAAATGAACATATAGAAGTTATGTTTCCGGCCCGATACAGGCAAAATGAGGGTGCGTTGTGTTCGGGGGAAGACGGTAGTCTTTCCATGTCAAGGGCGGCAACGCCGCCAAGCAACGCATGAGCGTGTGTGTTTCCTCACAAAGGCTGAAAATTGCAAATTGCCAATAGTTAAATTGTGAATTGCACGTTGTTCTGAAGCCCCCATCCTTCATTCAAAAGCACCGAACAACTCCGCTCCAGCATTCGCTCCCAAAGCACCCCATGGCTGGGTTGACCTTGCAGCATGGAAAAACCTAGTTCACCTGCCACTGAGCATCGCGCAGACAGACTTCGGGTGCTAAAGATCCGAAGTTGAAAGGGAAAAAGCCCAGATCAAACGCTAAGGTCCGGGTTTTACAGTCTTGGATAAAAATAGCAGAACACCCAGCAGTGCAAACAACTCTTAGTGAAAGCTTGGTCATCCAAACGATGACAAAGTACACTCGCAATCGACCATGAGATTGACAAATTTTAACAGTGTACACAGATATGGAGTCCGTGACGCCTGCGTTTTGACGGCTGCACTTTGTTCCACAACCCATAACCCTTGATCTTCACAAGTGCTGCTAAACCCATCAGTCTTGAGGTAATCAGTCAGTTTCACAATCGCCGTTAAACCCAACGGTCTTGAGGTAATCAGTCAGTTCGTTGTGTCCTATGAACTTCGTGCTCACCGTTCGTCTCAAAGGTGACAAGGAAAAACTTTTAAGAAGTCAGTATGAGAACTGCACGGCTTCCACAGACGTGTTATTTTATAATTATTTCGTCAGATTACCCAATAGTACGGCGAATTGGTCCATCACGGCAGCAGAAGTCGTGTGTGCAAATCCCCACTTTCCCAGGAATTATGACTGAGTGACTGCTGAAGGCATTGGTTCGCTAAATCAACATACAAGTTGATGTTGCGACAAGATTGTTCATGGGTTCAAATCCCATTTCCTCCATCGCATTCCCCCGAAAAGCAAAAAAACTTCAAGAAAGTCGGCGCTCAAAGTGCCCCCCGTCGTCTTTCTCGCATTGCTTCTCCGTTGCCAATCCCAATCAATTGACCTTGGAGTCATGTATGTAAGTTACGTATGCAAGTTACCACAGTAAATCAAGTGGATACCATTATACCACAGGTATAAATTTACCAGCTTATCACAGCTACAGCAATTGCCACAGTAAAGCCTACAAGAGTTACCGGACCAAACCGAACCGAACCTCCCAACTGTTATTCTGGCCTAGTGAGAAACATTGATAAGCGAGAAAGAAGAAGTCCTTTGGGACATCCATTAGAATTGGAACAATACAGAGAAGATTAGAAGTCCTTCGGGACATCCATTAACATTGGAACAATACAGAGAAGATTAGCATGGCCCCTGCGCAAGGAGTGGGAGTGGGGGGAAAAGACTTTAAGAAAGGTTGTTCTGACTGTACGAAGATGATATGATAGATTTAAGAAAAAAAAGGAAAAAAAGAAAAAAAGAAAAAAGGAGAAGAAGAAGAAGAAGAAAGTCAGTTCTGACAGGTCCCAACTCCTTCTGATATTTATACCAAGTTGCCAGTCCTGATGAATGGCAGATTCACATGTACGTAAGTTACATAACTATGTTGAGTTACTGCAGTAAGTAAAGTGGTTACCACAGTTAGATAGTTACAGCAGCTACTGCAGTATAAACTGATGGGGCATTCACAAGCTACCACATATCACGACTGGTGTCTACGGACCTATAAGACTTACCACACCTCCCAACAACTCAAACGGTTAACCACACTCGGTAAATGTATTTACGGACCTGCGAGAGTTACTACAGCTCCCAGGTTCTAACTCGACGTATTAGCTCAGTCGCAACAACTACAAATTAGTAGAGCAACAAAAATCAAATGGTTGCCACAGGTACCGTAGTACATCAACATTTGACAGCAGTCCTCGTTGTAGATCAACAGGCCACCAAAGTTACCGCAGCCGGATTGACAAGTTACCACAGCTACCGCAGCTCCCACTTTGTGGAATGAAGGACTCGCCACCGTAACTACAGGTTCCATGGCAAACGGGCACGTCACACACCGTATCTCCCAACTCATCAATCGATGAGATAGTAGCTACAGTTACCACAGTCACTGCAGTCAACATAGTCACCACAGCTACAGCAGTGACAACAACAGCCACCAGTTAAAACGACCAGTTTAAATATGTAGTTTACCTTTTAACCACGGTTAAGAGGGCTCCCAAATTCCTGGGTTGTCACAGTTGCCCTGGCCACTGTAGTAAATCAACAGAGGGCTGAGAGGGGGGGGAAATGATCAGTCACTAGAGTTACCACAGTTACGATAGTTAACATAGTTCCCTACTTAAAAATTTAAAGCGCCAGCGTAAATATACAGTTTACCACGCTCCCAACTTCCTTGGTTGTCCCCGTTACCCTGGCCACTGCAGTAAATCAAGAGAGGGCTGAGAGGGTGGGAATTGATCAGTTAATGTCCGAGAAGCAAACCAACATTTTGGACGCGATTGCCCTGCCCTGTCCCATTTGCCCAGCTACCACAGTTAACGAAGTTCCCTTCTAGCAAACCAACACAGTTATCCTATTTACCACAGTAAATAAACCGAGAAGCAAACGAATGGGTTACCAACTTACCCCAGCTGCGATAATTACCGGACTTTATCGACGGGTTCCCTCGGTTAATGTCGCCCTCGTCTCTTAAATAGACAGGCTGACCACAGTTACTGCAGTTACCACAGTAAATCAGCAGAGGTGCAAATCGACAGTCGACAAAATCGGCAGCCATAACACAGCTACCGACTTGCAAATCGGTGCGCTGCTACTACCACCCCCGTTAACGAGATAAACCAACAGATGGGAGCGGCTATTGCAAGCTCGGCTATCAAGTATACACACCTCCACCCTTGTAGGCCAAAGAACGGCAGTTTGGATCTCCCGCAGGCATTGTCAATAAGATGTGTGCCATATCATGCCAACTACCAACTTCTACGACATCAGTGAGTCATCCATAGATTCCATACCTGATATGGCGACCTTCGATCTGGCTCTTCCGTTTGAACTTCGCCCCAAGAAGGCCCCCTCCATACCCACCCAATTCCCCCACTGTACATTTGCATACCCAGATGGAATGTAGTCTAACCCCTTACACTGCCTTTGCTGTCAATCACGGTCTCGCAAGGTTACCTGCCCCATCAGATTCATGCGTTGGGGCCAGCATAATCTGCAACATTATGTACACTCCCGGGCATCTACTCTGGGAGCGATTGCTCCCTCACTGATTCTGACTGGCTCTCTGCACGCGGAACTCCCAGCGATTCCTGTGGCTGCTGTGTTGAAGAGGGATCTGGGCTAGTGTCAGGAGAGGCTGCTTCTGGCACTTGATGTAATAATGAAGACGGCAAGGCATTTCCGGGCTTCTGCTCCGGCAGCGATTGCTCCTTCACTGACTCTGACTGGGTCTCCGCCTGTGGAACTCCTAACGATGAATGTGGCTGCTGCGTCGATGGGGGCGTTGTGCTTGCATCAGCAGAAGCTGCTGCTGGCAGTTGATGTGATGAGGAGGCCAAGGCACTTCCAGGCTTCAGCTCTGCCCGCGATTCCTCCCTCACCGATTCTGACTGGGTCTCCGCCTGCGGAACTCCCAATGATGGCTCTGGTTGCTGTGTCGAAGGGGGCGTTGGGCTAGCACCAGGAGAAGCTGCTCCTGCCACTTGATGCGATGCCACGGATGACGACACTGCAGCTGATGAAGCACTTGATGATGAGGCGGATGAGGACAATGACGATGACGAAGAAGACGAAGACGGTGACGAGTGCAATGAAGTCGGAGAAGATTCCGTTGCAGACACAGACACAGACACTGAAACTGAAGATGCCACCACCTTCGAAGACGTCAATGACGAGGATGCTGCTGCAACCGTAATGCGTTGCCCAACCTCAGACCTCTGTTGTGGATCCAGACCCCATTCATCATCAAATTGACCGGGTTCCTGTAGTTGAATTTCCAATTTGACGATTGCAAAGATGATTAGTCAAAGATCATTGTGGTACGTACTGGCAATATATTAGCAAGTCAAATGTGCCTGACACTGGCCGGCACCTGATTTTCT